TTGTTAACAAAATAATCTTTAAATATTGTTTGTGTTTCATTATTTTAATTTACTCGTAGAAAAAGTGTTGTATGCAATAATTACATTATTAGGTCTTACAACACCTTACACACATCATTATGCAACGATTGCATAAAATACTATTATAATATAAAAGGTTTTATTTTTTACAATTTTATTTCTTGTGTGCCTACACAAGAAATAAAATATAAATGTAGATTTAGATACAGAAGACATGAATTTATTACTATCATTCTTCAATTTTGGCAGATTATAATAAGCTGCACTCTACAGTGTGCTACGTACTACAAGTACGAGAGTAAGAGTCAGAAGACTGGCAGTAGTGTTGTAAAAAACTCGAGTCCGGGAGTCTAGGTACATTTATTTTAGGACTCGACTCCTATTAACAAGACTGTCTTTATGAGTGCATAAAGACAGAGATTCACTGCTCAATGTGTTACGAGCCTATTAAGTTTCCAAATAGACTAGAGTTCGACATTTTTTGTTCACGTAACGAATCTAACTCGAGTGTGGTTAAGTACCATCGAGTACATAACCAAAAATAGAGACGAAATGTCATTTTATTTGTTTGAAATCTATTCTGTCATATCATTACTGTGACAACTGCGCTCCGATTGGCTAGCCCGAGTTTGAAACAATTGACGGGTGTCGTCAATTGTTTCACTTCAAAACGACCAGTTAACTTGAGCTTTGCTATAATGGACGAAAACTGCAAAATTACATATTTAATATTTAATTAAATTTAAACTTACCCCGGGAACTGTACCCGGGAATGTATACTTGTACCACCTATTGTAAACCATATTTTAAGCAAATAAACATCATTCATTAATTCATTCTTCACTGTTAACAGTGAAGAAGAAAAAACATAGTGACCAATTGTTTGGCGAGCTATCTGAACCGTCACTTCGGGTCAAACTGCTGTCAACCAGTGCACGTATAAGGGTGAATAACGAAGAATGAAGCATTAATACTGTACCGCACGCAGCTAACGGGTCTTAGTAGCGGTCGTTCAAGTCGGTAGCTATGTCCTGAGACCTGGTAAAAGATGAGCTAGATATCCTCCAGTCCCTCCGCCCGCTCAAATTATTGTGTGTGAACTGGAGAGTTTCGGCGTTGAGAATTGAACGTGTCTCACAGCTCCGCCACCAAAGAGGAGATTTGATTATGGACTTTAGAGTCAACGACTTAGCGGTGGTAACCGTTAGTTGTGCAATACGCAACGGGAAGTGAGCATACCTACAGCTCCGATACCTATCTGGAAAGTAGGGAGGGTACTGTGCGTGCATCTGGGGCAGCCCATCCAAGGCAGTCTCGCTGGCCGAACGGCTACAAAAAAAAAAGGCACTAGCTTTTTGAGAACCGAACGAAGTACGTGCAAATGCTGATCTGGGGTCAGGACCTGACTGGGTAGGTCCCTATGCAGGCTGGCTTGCACAGATTATAGTGCCCGTATGACAAAGAAGTTGATAGGGAGGGTCACTATAAACAAAACGTGTGTAAAAAAGATCCGGGAACTGTACCTTGCGTGTTGTCTTCCCCACCATCGCTGTCAACTTCACTGCCAACACTAACGGGGCTGTCTCTCTTACTTTCCTCCTTATTTTCAGTCGCTTGAGCTGGATTTCCCAACATCCTGAGCCATGGTTCTGGGTAACCCAATAAAAAAGGAAAACTGACGCCATTTTGTTGCAAAAATGGCGCGTTAAGGTAATAGCGCATCCGATTTAATCCATCTAATCGTTCTTCATTTTCTTCTTCAGAATGTCGAGAATTTTCCGATAGATTGTTCTCTATATCGATTTCTGGTGATTTTCGATCTCCTATTAAGCTTTCTATTGAAAATGGCTTAGGAGTTTTCTTTGTCTGAGTTTCAATTATTTCCGAATCCATTGTTAATTGTTTATAATTATTGCTTTTACAAGAACAGTCTTTTAAAATACGTTTTATTTTAAATATCACTTTTTAAAACACTTATTTGTTTAAATAAACACACAGAAAAATATATTACAATTTAAAAGTAATTTACGCTAGTAGTTTTTTTAATCGTAGTCACAGATAAAATATTGCTTTTCGTAATTTGGAACGCACAGGACGCGTGCGTTCATCGACAGCATCGTTCAAAAACTCACGTCCCAAAACGAACATGGCGATCACGCCCACTCTACGGGGTGTAATCAAAACGTACAAAACACCACACACTACCGTTTCTAAACAAAATTGGTTCAATAAGAATTGAACCTTACGACGTCGGCGTGGTGCTTAAATTTACATTTTCGGAATATCATTGTGGTTGGTATTGTCTGGCCACTCCTCCTCTTGGTTGACTAAACTCGCCTAATATAAAATGGTCTCTGACGTTTCTTTTTTATTAAAAGTGACCTTGCTTTAAAAACCCATAGTTGGTTTGTTAATTGCGTTCATTAATTTTTTTTTCAACAGTCCACTTCAATTTGGAATTACATCCTTAAAATTAAATTTTCCTTAAAAAACCACTAGAATGTGCAATAAAAAAACGGTCGCTATCTGTTATAGACTGAGTTAAATTTTCAGTTTGTTATAATTCCAAATATTGTGACAAAAATAAACATTTCGAAAAATCAAATGAAATATCATAGTTAGATACGTTTTACTTTTTTAAATGAATTTACGTGACTTGATTGTTAACTAGTCCGAAAGAGTTCTGGTTACATTGGTTAAATTTCAAAGATTCTCATTCTCCTGTTAGAGTGAAAGAGACAAAACGTCACACACACACGCTCAGTATGACATTGTCAGATGTTGCATACATTTTCACATTGTTTAATTTTAAAATTTGCGAATGTTAACTCTATTCTTAATCAATTACCAGCAAAAACATTTCGAAGAGCTTATTACACAGACTCTATTTTATCGAAAAATTAACTTTCTTTACGACCCATCAAATCTTACTTTTGCTTCAAAAACTTTTAGCATTCTGGTACATAAATCACAAAACTAGCTCTTATAGAGACGAAACAACGTTGATTTTTGAGAAAATGTTCAAGTTTGACGAAAGCCCTTTCGATACCCACGTAGAGGAGCGATTAACAACACTTAAAGGAAGTGAGTGAACAGAACACCAATAGCACACATTTGTGTGTTAGAAAGAGACGGCATGAGTGATATTTGAGGTTAGTACAGCGGTAATTGTCGACGATCAAAATGTGTTGCCAGAGTCAGCGCTTTGTACAAATTCATTCTCTCGTGCCTCGTTTGAAACGTGCTGAAAATAAAACGTGTTTAGTGTGTAGCTGTAATTTCTTATTCGTATTCACCACGGCTAGGGTTGGTTGGAAGACTTAATATCTAGAGTCTATTCTAGAGTTAAGCTCACCTTTATATTGTCCTTTGTAACATGTAATTTTTAATGTATTTTCTTTGTGCAATAAAGAATTATTACCTTTTGATGTTATACCACTTACACACATTAATTAGGATCTCATGAATGAATATGTCTTTTAAATTTATATGAAATGTTTGTATACAAAGTGAAAATAGATTGTTTGTAGTTATATCTTTGATTTCCAGATTTCGTCGCAGGGATTCGAATCATTGTCCTTTTAATAAAGAAGCAACCTTCAATATTTCGTAACCATTTGTGATCATGCATTAAAAGTGTTTTGCAATTTTTATGACTTACGTGAATCACAAAAATATGTATTACCTATGTGATACTTTATACACACCTGGAAACTTAGACTAGACGTGGGGAAGGACATAACCAAGAACTACATAATAAACACAGGGTTGCACCCGTACAGCATATTTTGTCCAAAACGAAGTACACATGTGTATACATTTATCATTTACAATATTTATTTGCAACATCTTAAATCAAGACTGTCTGCAAGAGCTAAACGGGTCACTACCACAGATTCTTGTCTCCATACTCCAAGTACGCGGAAATTGTATAATAACTTATAGTATAAAGTTTTTGTTTCACTATAGTTTTAAACCTCGTAAATGGCAATGGGAAGCATATACGTCGCCCCTTATATGAATTTGTGACGACGACAGCGAAGAACATTATTAGATTTTTAATTCGGGACTTAATCACGTACAAAACATGTTAATTAATTCGAGGTAATTAAGTTTCGGATGTATTGCAACTTCAGTCTCGAAGGGACTGAAGAAATGGGTGTCAGCATCTTCTTTCCGTGCGAGTTTTTTTAACTACCCGCACTTGATCTTCATTGTTTATTTGTGCACCAGTGTTGTCACTAGACCGGTACACAACACTCACGATATCTGGCGACTTGTCGGGCAATAGGTAGGTACTTGATGTCGTTTATATTTGCTAATAACTAGATCCCATGACGATGCAAGCTTAAAACCGTCTTCACGTTCGATTCTACTATAGTGTCACTATATTATCTAGTTTATTGGCATTTATATAAAAAATGTGTGAAAATCGTCACTGTCAAGAACAGCTAGTTTATTTTTATTCCTTAATTTGTATGTCTACTGCATTTAACAAAGGTTATTTCAATAGGTATAGCACGAGAATACTGTGACAAATACCATACTTTTCCAATTAATTTTCACAACCTGTATCTAAAATAATAATGTAAGAACGGCACGCTTTTACGCCGAACAGGCCCCCTTTCTACCATACTCATAGAAGGCGTTAGTTGATAAGTGAAGTTGTGACGGTGTGACCTCCTTACACCGTCATCCCGCCTTTTTGTATCGTCTCTCTCCATTCGTATCGTATCGTTTTTTCTTCTTCTACTCATATTTAAATTCAAAATTTTAAATTGTTCCATTTTACCTCGCATTCTGATTTTATTTCTTTTTATCGTCACTCTCTGACCCGATCGCGTAGAGAACACATCGTCTTCCTATTTTTTTGAACCGTTTACTATTTTACTAAAAATCTTTTTTACATATTTTAAGACCATGAATATTGTTAAAACCGAAACAAATACTTTTATAACTGGATTTATAACCATTACCCTTTACCCTTTTGCACTCCCGAACGTTGAACTCGCAGCAAGACTAAGACCTCGAACACTAAGCGAGATCTGCGGTCTTCTGAACATTCCAAGCGGTACCAGCAGCGGCACACGGTTTCACTAATGTGAAATGTGGATTGCAAGCTACATTACAACCTACAGAATTCCACCAGACCTCCTACAAAGTTATTAGCTAAGTCGCTGTTCACATGTGAACACCCCTTTGGCAACTACGACGACAGTCATTAGAGAGTAATTTCGCGTCCCCCGCCACTTACCACTCTCGTGCCACGAAATTGATTGTGGCTATTTCCCGCCGGTGAATTTATGGTTGTTAGTCGAAATGATATGTGGCCGATGTTTTTAGATAGTGATTGGTGGTTTTGTTTGCTAATGGACAGTTTGTAACTATCTGACAGTTGCTTGCTTGTGTATTTTGAATTAAACTACAACATTCATAATTTCAGAGTTTAGTAGCAGTTTTTTGCTTGAGAAATGGTTATTTTTCAAGCTACTGCTCGTTCACTGTGCTGACTTCCCTGAGAAGAACTAGCAAGAAACTCTAGGGATTGCACTTTGAATCAAATTTGTATGGAATCTAGAGCCATGTCGTATCTTTATTTAACATGTAGTCTTCAATTTTGTAATATTAATTTCGAATTAAAATACTTTTAATGTAAGTTTTAAACTTAGAAAATGATAATCATAATATATTCTCCGGAATCTTATTGTAAAAACGTATACGTTCCCCATAAAAGAATCGTTTACCTTGGTTAAACGAAATCGGGGTACCATGAGTTTGGACTTAGTTCTAAGGTTAATTCTTTCTTAATTAAATTATGTATATTTTTAAGGGCATACAAAATATTTGGATAAATGTACTGGTTATGGGACAGTCATTTCACCTATCCTTAAACTTTTCTCTGAGAGAAACCCGAGAACCTAAACGGTACCTAAACAAAACGAATCGCTCGTTTTTGCAACACAAATATGATTTGTATATCTGCCGCTTTACCCCACAGAGAATTCCGTAGGACATTATACTATGGAAGTAACCAAACTATTCTAGCAGTATCAACAATGTGAGCATTACTGCGTGCCGATTTTGAAGAATAAAGGTGGGACACTCACACATGACACTTTTCAACTTACGTCTCAAAATGACGGGCGCAGTGGCAGTGCCCCACAGATCTTTGCGATTTAAAGATTTGAACGCTCCCATATCTTTTTTACATAAGTTTTGTTTATAGTAACCTTACCTCCCTCTTGGTTATACGGGAAGGGCACAATAACCTGTGCAAACAAGCCCGCACCTACTCAATCAGGTCCTGACCGTAGATCAACCCGTTTGCACGGACTTATCCGGTTCTCAGAAGGCCAGTGCCTTAGGTGAGCCGTCTCGGGTGCACGTACAGTACACTTCCTTTTTTCAAGGTAAGTGACAGACGTGTCACTTACCACCACACATCTTGTTCGTCGCGTCGATCGAGTATATAACCAGAAATAGAGACGAAATAAGGGCCATCCATCCCTGGCAGCTAGTCAGTCAAACGGTACTGATGTCACTTTTAAATATCAACTCTCGTTGGCGCTGAAATCACAAATTAGAAAGCTGAAATAGTACAGCGCCAATAACTGACCTGTGTGTACGTCTCCGTATATTCCAAAAACGTTCTGTATTTATAATATCTCTAACAATGGGGCTATTCCCTTCGGCGGTGTGGGAAAAACAGCAAAACATCTAATTACAAAACAAACGGAATAACATTTCATCGGTAATTAAAGACTAATTTTTCAATTTTCGTCCATTATTGCAAAGCTCAAGTAAAACTGGTAGTTATGAAGTGAAACAATTGACGACACCCGTCAATTGTTCCGAATTTCAGCTCAGTTTGATTTGGCAGAATAGTTTTCAAA